GTAGCCTTGATTGGTATGCTGTCAAAAGTAACAAGTCTTGATTGACTGGCGCCACTAGGATTTCGGTCTATGCAGACTGCCAGTAGGAGTGCCCAATCCACGCAAAATGAAGTCGCTGGTAAATGCCTCGGTTCCACCAGAGTGACAATTATGTCAAGCCAAGTGGATTTGTGTTTTAAGCAAATTGTCGAAAATCCAGCTGTGAAAGTTATTCGTGCAGTAGTATTTCCTTGGGTTGGGTCACGCTGATTGCACTTGACATTCGTTTAAACAGAGTTGGATTAAAATTTTGAGACTCTGAGACATAATTTGGTATTGCGGGGTATGTCATTAGACTAACCTAGTTGGAGCAGACACATTAGGGAGCAATAAAGTGAGCGAGTATAGTTGGTTAGAAATTGTCGCCATTTCTGTGGATACCTGTATATTGTAATCTCGAGCTTACCTAGATATAAAACTATTCGCGAAGGTATTATTATTATCATTGAGTAGGAACATTATTCTGCAGAACCTACGCCCACACTCTTTAATCGTTAATTGTGGAAATATATCTTGCGCTTCCTAATCCAAATGCGAATGGATCATTTTACTTGGTCCCACATTCGAAACTTTTAACTCAACTTATCCTTCGTTAATTTACCTGTAACTCTGGACTTGGTAATGCCTTACTCGATACATTGTCGAAACCAACAAGTCTTGATTGAGTGGCACCAGACTTAAGTCCTCAAAGAGTCATTAACTATCTATTTGTAATTCCAATGTGGTTAGAAAACGTCATTAAAGGGGTAATTAGCAACATCATACTTGGGGTTTCAGTCCCCGACTCTTAGTGGATTTCGAAGTGCCCTGTTGTTCAAAGAAGCCTTTCTCGCTCGAATGAAAATTCTCCGGTGGGTAGCTTAGGGGATCGGCCCTCGGCACCACGTAAACCCAGTGAAATGTATTTTGCGTCAAATCGTTTGGAAACGTTTGCTCCAACTCGCAGTTAATGTAGTGAAGCAATTGTCGTGTAAGTTTAGTATTGGCCATTCCATCGCTGATGTTCCCTATTTTGCGTTAGTAAAGTTAGCCATCTTGTGTGCCGGCTCGCCCTGATTTATGCGTTTTCAAGTTTCTATACCGATCCTGTGTGATCTGCAGAGTGACTTGCCTTATCAATTGAAAAAATTGCATGCACAAATGTCTTACCAAAGCATGAGTCACATGCGTCTATCTGGTAAATCCTCCCTATCCCTTTACAAATGCTTAGCTTGGTTAGTGAAATTCGTGACTTATCTGAGCAAATAAACATGTTTTCAAAACAACCTTTAGGACTTCGAATAATTATTGGATCATTAATGTTGTTTTCACTACCAAAGCCTTAAGAAAATTAGACTTTCATCTTGGGAGCTCAGTTTCTTTCTTGAGGACACCCTTATTTGTGGTAACCCATCTGTTGCTCAAGAAAATCATCATTAGTTTAGGACAGCAAGTCGAGACCTATTTCTCTGTGTCAAAGAGCTGTGTTTGAATCTTGCCATAGCAACTTTATTAAATATGACTGAGAGAAGCAATTGCTCGGTGTCGAAGCATATTGTTGAGTGAAGTCATCTTACACTACTTTAGGTTGACGATAAGGATGTTTCAGAGTTGGGTCAGACTGCTTCTGTGGCCCTCCTGCGGGAGAAACCGATTGGCAGCATGGTGACGCTGGTGGTCGCTCCAGGCCCTCACCACCACCAACACCACCACCGCCAAAACCAACAGCACCACCAGGAACAGCCGCATCATCGTTCGAGCGTCTCCTTTCAGACCACTTCCCAAGCAGCTTCCAGCCACGAGGGACAAGGTGACGGCGTCGACCAACGCAAACATGTGAGTTTCGTGAATCAACATGGCATGACTTTCACATTAATCAGGCCTCACTCGAGGATGTGTTTGCTTAAGGTTCCATTTGAGTGCTGTAGGATAAAGAAAGCCTCATTATCAAACGAGATTAGTTGAGAAAAGGCGTTGTAGGCTACAGTAACGCTCTTTCCTCATTTAGAGAACATTTGAGTTTTTAAATGGTTCAATTTACAAGTGGGATCGTTTGAAATGCATCATTGCATTTGATTAACACTTAGTCTTATTGGTGAATATTGTCACGCTCCTACTAATTAGAGTAGTTGGTTGAAGATTTTTAGTGAAATGCTTTTCCTTGCTTTTGGAGGTTTCACTAAATTGCGTAACCCATTTAGCTTAATGCGCTTCATTAATCTGGAAAAGTCGCTCAACTGTTGCGGTTAGTTCATTTATCACAAAAGTCTTCAGGTAAACAGCAAATGATTAGCAGTTTTACACTGTAAACATAGTCGAAAAGTGAGAGGACATCATTCCTGCCAAAAGACAAGCGCACTTTAGTGCTTCCAACACATCAGATCCATCCTCACAGTCTTTTACTCGATTAAAGGGCATTTTCCTTAATACTTGTTAAGAAAAACAAATCCTACTTAATCTTCACTTCTTCTTGAGGGCAGGCTGGAGTAGTATCGCGCAACTTCGAACTAAATTCCTATTGGTGGCAACACAAAAGCTCTTTTTCTCTTCTTCTGGATGTAACAAATCAGCTCTTCAAAGCAAAGTTAAACGCGAAACGGTGGTATTTATTGGCATTAGCTTTAAGGGGACGTTGAGCCTCCATGTCACTGCATCTGAAACCACTTCTGACACGTGATTTAACCAACATCTTGTAGGCAAAAAACCTTGCATTTATACTACCACAAGGAAACATTTTCAAACTTTGTTAGCCCTAGATCACCATTGAGTTATGCAACTAGTCAACAGACATGAACTGTTTTAAGCTATATTATTTTTCGATTAACTGAACCCCTGATGAGTTGAAAAAGGTCTGAATGTACCATAGACGGTGAGTCGGCTCGAAATTTCTCATTTTTGAGCCAAACTGGAAATCAGGCCCATTTTTAAGCACGCCGTAGCAGGGTGCAGTTGGGATGTTAAGACGTGTGTAATGTCAGTTTTAGGTGACTGCTTGAGCGTGTGTGAACCTGAAAATTCCCCTAGTCATTTTGCTATTGGTTCCAGAGCCGTGGCTTCAATGTATTGTAACGTGGCATTACAGGAAGGCGACAAAGAGGACCCCCTGAAGTACTTCGCAGTAGATCCACATCTAGTCAAGTTGCACACCTTTGAAATCCCCATCTCCGGTACTTCTAATAACGAGACTGCCATCAACGTCGACCGGAAGGAGGCCAATCGCTCGTCTTCTATCCCACCTTCCCTTCTGGCCTCAGCTTTTACCCTGGGAGTCAGCGTCCGAGTGCGTCCGCTCACTTCCGATGACTGCTCGCCGGCACTTCTGGAGGAGTCGGTGAGGGCTGTCGCCGAGACTAGTGCGAAAAAGGGCAACAATGCGATCGCGCAGGATGATTGCATCAAAAACGGTGTATTCGTTCGCACCGTGATTCCCGGTGGCGCAGCTCACAAGGTTGGCAGCACATTGTCCTACATAGCTTTTTTATTCAAGTTTTCTGTTAAAACTTTTGGTAGAACCGGTCAGATTAAGCACAGTTTACATCGTACAGCTTTGTATTTTCGGTGTTTCTGTACACTTACTGAATTCACTATGACATCCGAATCACGCTGATTTCTTCAAATTATTACCCAAAATGTGACGCGTCAGACTACCTAGCACTGCAAGCGGGCGAGTTTTTTTTCCAAAGGTGCTGTTTCTTTTCCTTCATGTTTTTTCAAACAAAGCAAGTTGGTTGCCAGTATTGGCTCTGACACCCACCTTGGCGACCGTTCGTTGCACGCTTTACTTAAGCCCACATTCGTAGGTGTAGGCCACCACCCCCCCCAGTCATGCCCATCGTGGGAGTTCACGATTGCGTAGCTTCGCGACTACCGACAGACAAAATAGCTCCATTTGAAGTGTCTTTAGCCCGATTTTTCGTCATCAACAATTATTTATTCGTGCTGATTTGATAGGCCTATCCAACGGATTAATGCGTTTCAACGTATTTTTGCATCGGATTAACTGCGGCATCGTAAAGGCCTCGTCCTCGTTCGTTCCACCACATTATTATGACCTCCGTTTGCGTCGTGCATAGCCCCTGATTCGCCAGCATTCTGATTTGACGGCTACGCATTGACTTAGAAGCACGTGATTCAATCACACGCCCATCACATGCTTTATTTGTTTTGCTCCAGCTTGGAATTTGAACTGGATGCGGTCCGAAGTTCGATTTACCCTTCATTTTTTTTAAAACCACAGCTGTCCATGCTGGAGGGGGCTCTAAGTCGCACCTCTTTTCGCACATCGCTAGGCTCATTGTTACGCGTGTATCTTCCTCACTTGGTTATTGTATCGTCGATGCCGGAAATTTAAAAAAAGGCTGCTAATTGCGTGGTACGTTTAACGCACCACAATGTTTTCAAGATTAAGTTCCTCTCAGTCAGGATTTTTGACGGATTACACGCCGAATTTTATTTAACTCAAATGGTACCTAGATTTCGAACTATAACTGCAACCTCCTCTTCCACTTTCTTTCTGGCATTTGTGACCGCCAATCAGCGTCAATTTCTTACGAAAACAAACAGCGTACCAAGCGCGCTGGTCTGGCCGTCCACTGCGAGTGTCAAGGTTACTTTATCTAAAGGCGAGAAATCGAGAACGGTTTCGTCAATGCAGTAACTGCTAGATGATGGTCCAAGATGATTTAATCGCGAACGCAGGCGGTATGAGTTATGTAGGGGAGGCAGTTTGTAACTAAATTGTTAGAACCGCTGTAGGTATAATATGTCACAATAATAATTTCTACACACCTTGAATATCCTTCAAGTTGTAAATGTAAAAGGTGACCTAATCGGAAAGGCTACTGATGTGGCTAATGTGCCTGAGGTGTTAGTGTGTAGCCATGTTAACCTTCAAAACCCGGACATATATCCAGTCCATACGATCAAGCAATTCAGCGCATCAGAATAATTCGCAACATGCGGTAAATGAACCCTGGCGATTAGTCTTCTGTTATCTGCTTAGGTCATTATTATTGGCTCCTTCACTAACAAACGCCTGACATGTAGCAACACATGTACTATTGTTGACTAGCAAGTCGTTTGTCGTGAGGTAGGATGCAATACTCCGAAATTGGTCGACCGCATTAGGCTCTCTGCTTACTGTGAGCCAGCTTAGGCGCAACCTGAGTAGCTGAAATCTTGGTGTATTGACTATATGCTTGCACTGCTTCACGGTTTGGCAGCTTCCTTGCTTTGTGCTAATGCCCGCTGATTTAAATTACTTAATACGATTATACTTACTACGATCACCATGACTTCTTGACTAAATTTCAAATCACATTTGCAAATGTGTCTACTGCATACAAGGGACACTGTTGTGAGCAGCTGTGGCTCTGAAATGAATAGGCTACGTTTATTGGTAATTCTTAAGACCGCTCTACCAATTCCACCACTGTAGTTCCCCTTGAGAAAATCTAGTCAAGGCTGATTTCAAAACACCAGAGAAGAACAAGCACGGCCGTCTTTCTTCCAAGCCCAGCTGCCTTGTATGAACGTTTAACGAGTGTTGTGGGCCTTTAGCATATGGTCTTGAACCACGCCGGGGCAACTAAGTTAATCCTGGCCCGATTTAGCGTCCCAGCTACCCGCGATGAAGAAAAAGACCGGAGAGGACGTGGACACAAGCATTTACTTTAGAGCCCAACCACGTTGGTGGCGTCGTGTCGTGGGTGTCATTTGCGCGTGTGTATTTATACCTCAAATGTATGAGTCATACATGCGCTAGCATCGAGACCTAGGTGTGAGGATAATCTAGGATAAATGTAAGTGCTAATGAGGGGGTAGTTGAGGATTTGGGAGGCTGGCGACATGCTGCGAAAAGGGGGATCCTGTGTCGGAGGCTTATAGTTTCTTTGAACAGGTTTACACACTTGATTCTTTGTGCCTTGTCAGAACTTCTGTTGATAATATCTGAAAGGTACCAGAATGTAAGCTAAGTATTTCGCCCAGACTTGAAGCCTCCGTTGTTCTCACTTTGACAGGACGGACGGTTGCGGGTGGAGGACAGATTGCTGGCAATTGACAATCGTCCCCTCTCCTGTCTCTCATCCCCTGATGCTCTTCATTTGCTCAAAACCTCCATTTCCCGCATCACCGCCGACAGGGAGCCCTTCATTCGCCTTTTGGTGTCGCGGAAAAGTCGAGGCTTGGACGTCTCGGATGCGCCGCCTCCACTTCAGCCGCCAACTGCAAATGCCTTTCAGAGGCGTCTTGGGGGCGTGAATAGCTCACCAAACCTAAAACGAAGTGAGGGAGCGAACTCGGGATCATTAGATAGTTTGGTTAGTGAATTTTTTAATCACTAATTGTTGCAAAACTTGTCAACACCTGAAAATTAATTTTCGTATCTTCGATTGTAGTGTAATGCTTGCCTTCGATTCTAGTTCAAGCCTCATTGTCATTAGATTTGTTGGAATGATAGATGAAGCAACTCGTAAGCCAGCTTGTTTTCTGTTTTCGTCGAGTGAACTAAAAATATGCTCACAATGTATGCTTTAGCGAATGCTTCAAACACGACAAACATCGACAATTTTGTTTCTGTAGAGTTTTTTTAGTTTGTAACCCACTTCACCTCTCCTGTTCCCTTACTCCCCGTTTTTAAAAGCCTAGCCTTTTCCTTGACAGCTGGCCGATGCGGCTAATCGCATGAACTCATTTGTGGTGCTGGCGGACGTCCACCAGACGGCCCAAGATGCCACCGTAACCTCAGAGCTCGCCTCTCGGCTCGCCGCTTCCACGAGCGGCGGGGTTGTCCAACATCCAACTGATTTCAACAAACACCAAAAGGTAAAAATTCATTTAGTAGACACTTTCAAAATGTGCAAATACTGTTGCAACACCAGGGATGACTGAAGATTCCACTTTAGCGGGAATTGCTAACGCGGAGTTAGATTGTGGTGTTGCACCTCTCTCGTGCATGACTTATGGTGAATTGCTTGCCAATTGTGCTCGTGGCTCAAGTTGCATGCAAACGAACTATTCCATGGTGTGTTCAATTGGAGACAAAACTGATAAGCACCTCAAAGCTGTTAAAGTATCAAAGTCGTACTGGCACATGCCTTGAGCTAATAATTATGCCAGCGTCAGGTAATCATCGACGGAAGTAAGTTTTGCGTAGTTTAACTTATAATCCTTGACTCTTACAGCACTTGCGTGCACCTTGTTCTAACGCATAAAACCGGGGGTTCCATTATTTCTGTGTTCGTTTAAGTTGTGATTTCTCTTTCTACTAAGTAGAATGATTATCGAGGATTAGCATTTTTCATGTTGAGGTGGGTTCTTAGCGATGAGTCACCACTGAGGCATAGGTGGTGTTTTACCTCAAGAACCTTCAAATATGAATGCACCATGGAACACGTATTGAACAAAGTAATGAAATTTGCTCATAATCAGCACACATGTTTTTCAATAAGTTCGATCAACTCTATGGGCAATACCTACATATGCTGCTTGTTGTCATCATCTCTCTACCCATTTTCGATTTGTTCAGAATAGCGTATTTGTTTGTTCATCCTTGTTGCGCATTCGCTTAAGCGTAACGTCTTGTACTTTCATTTTTGATCTTTTCTACTCTCCTCTTCCCGGTCGTCAAACCCTGTGTTCCCAATACCCATCACCTAAACTTCAACACCTTACTTTTGGGCCAATGTTTTCGGTATGTTCGTGAACGTCGCTGATGCTACCTCTGTGCACTGCCTGCTGAATCAATTGTCGTTTGTCCATCGATGAACGCACACGCTGCTCTGTCTAGTTCGCTGATATGTGACATGCTCCTTGTATACTCGGCCTTATTGTTGCATGTGTGCCCATTTGCATATACCTTTATATCCAACTATCTTTACCCGCCCAAAAGTTATCAAGTGGACTCATACCTTACTTTACCAAACCTCCACAGCCCGCCTAAAGGTTTGTTCCCCATTCTGCCTGCCACTCCTTTATGGTCAGTGACTCATCAGGGTGTTTGGGCTATGGTTACGATCTGGATGTTTGGGCTGGTGACCGCCCAACCACGACAAATATATTTTTAGTACCTAAATAAAGAAAAAAAGACACGCCAGGTACTTGTGAATAGGAAAACCGCACCTTGTCTTCCAGAATTGTCTGCTTGGAGCCTTCTGAGAACGTTTTTCCGCAATAATAATAATAATATTAATAAAGGTTTCTATTATCGACGTAGAAGGCTACTTAAGCAGAGAATTGCACCTGGTGCTCGCATTCGACACGCGACTTTTTCACCAAGCTGTGGTCATGCGAAGGAGCCTTGCGATTGTCTGCTTGCATTGCACGCACAGACACAACTGAATGGAGTGCCACTCGATACGTGCATTTCGTGTAGCAATGTGTCCAAGAATCATCACAATATCAAAGTTCACTTGGTAGCGTGCATTAAACTACCCCTCTTTCCTATCAACGTTCTGGGGGCTGCGTCGAACATATCGAATTCAGGCTTTTGGGATACATAAAATCAACCCCCAACGTTGATCCAAGTTAAAAAAATTATGTGGCCAGCTGATGCCTTAACAGCTTTCATGTTGAACCACGCGGCGGCTTTCGCAAAAACCCGGGAACGTCATCACAAAGGTTCAAGACCACAATCCTTTGCTCTGATTCGACTGTTTGTAAGAAAATGAAAACAGAAGCAAAACTGAGGCTTAATGCGGTGCGCTTGAAAAGCGCTTTTTAAGTCACATTTTAGCAAAGCCTAGAATGCTGCGTCGCTATTCAAACTCCCGTGAGTTCAAATAACAAACACAAGTTTTTGGGCCCATTCTAAATTTGCCCAATTATGCTCATTAAAGTAGGGGTTTACAGGTTGTTTATGGAATTAAAAAAGTGCCGCGAAGGCAGCTCTGTATTTTATCGTTTTAGAATATTTCGGGCGCTAAACAATTAGCTGCTCAACCTAATGCCGTTCGGAAATATTCCTCCCTCGAAGTCCTTGCAGGCCCAACCTCGCTTCTCCTGCCGGAAGCATCGACCGCCTTAAATTCGTAAGATTTCTTCATGTTTATTGTTCTGTTGTTTGAAAAAGGAAGCTGCAGATTGCCTTCTATCATAGTACTGAAAACAACATAAGTCTGTCAACGGTAATTCTAAATAATGACTGTGGGCACTGCCTCCCAAGAAATTACCAGTCAATAACCAGCCCACCCACGGTAGCTCGGACGGCTCGGTGGTGTGCATGACTACTTTACGATGGCAAAATTCATGGTTTGCCTTTTTTGCGGCGCGTTTTTACAATGTAATGTTTTCCTTGGTTTACCTTTATTACGAAATGTTTTATGAAGGTTGGTTTTGTGTACCGTTTCGTCGTGTGGTTTATGAATTACACAGGAGGAACGCTTGCCTCGTAGCTGAAGCGATCTGGTCAGTCGCCTTTTCGACAAGCCTAACTACGCCCGGTAATTGGTTAACCCGACTGATCGACAATCGGATCTTTGAGGGCGATAGACAGTAATTGTGCGGATTACTAGAGGCATTCTTGATCAAATTTTAGGAAAGAATTCCCCGAGATTACGACTAATGCGGACCAAAAACAGTCAGCTTCTGTCAAGGCACCACCCGCAACTCTCCCAAGTCCTGCCTTTCTTGTCGCATCCTCAGGTACCACTTCACGGAAGTTTTAGCCACTATGCGACTGCATTTTTATTTGACTTCTACCAATGAGCCCGCAAGAAAAAGTGTATGCCAGTTGTAAGCTGTCAAAATTATATGATTAATGCCTAAACAAGAAATAAATTATTGTGTGGGCGTCGTGCTCTGGTTATTTGCCAAAGGGTTGCGTTTGCGTTGCTATAGTGAAACAACAACAGCTTTCGGCGTTTGCTTGTCTAAGATGGTCATTAAAGCAGACGGTCACGACGACACTTGATCTCTTTAACTTCCTAATTAGGTGTCTTCATGGTTAAGTGCCTTGTTTGACATTTCGCGAGTCAAAGGTTCTATTCTACAAAAATAATAAGTAAACAGGTCAGAATTTTCTTGAAATGGATTAATGTTTCCCCAAGCATCCTCACATTAAACTGTCATAGAACAGATCGACCATGATAAAATCCAACCCAATTGGAGTTATTAAAAGTCTTGTCTCATTGGAATCATCATTTCTTCATTGGCAGGAAACATCTTCATTTAAGTTGCTAGTAAAGATTTTGCCATTTAATATCATTAGTTTGTAGAAAGTCAAAATTTAAAACTGACTTCGTAATTAAACAGTAAAGTCAGAAAACAGGTCAAACCTTTAGTTGCTCTGACTCGGGACGAATTGGTTTACCAACTTGGTTGAGACCCTTATTAACACAAGTAGTATCAGAGTTGATAATTTTTTGTCTACATTTTTGTGCATTTGATTTTTTTAGCAAATTTTTACAATGAGCTTGCATTTTGGCTATATTTTTTTGTGTAATACAAATTACTTTTGATTGACCAGAATTACTGTGGGCTGCCGTAACCATCAATAAACACTAGTCTGACATCTCTTGGCACCTGGTTAAGACCCGTTTGCGATTGCTAGTGTCCGATTCCTCGAGACTTTTAAGAGGTTTGTGCCGATGAACGCACGTAGATATGAAGCGTGGTTACTTGGGTTAGTAAGCACTGCACATGCTCGATGCTAGTGTCGATGCGATGGCCGAGTAATCAACACAGCACTTATTTTTGTATGCCACCTAGGTGTTCAACCGGGGCAGATCTATCGTTGCGATTCTCAGGGTACTGTCCACACCTCAACAGATTCTGACTCCACAACCCTAAATAACTTATCAGGAAAGGCTGGTTTTGACGTACAACTCTCCGACAGCAGCGGTTACGATGTCCTGGCATTCGGGCCCTCGCTCACACACGAAGCAGACAACGTAGGAGGTGCCGCGTCAGAGCCGGAAGTGCTGCCCAGTCTCTGGCAGTCTGGTCGCAGGAGGCATCGTCGCTACAGTCGACGACGAGCAAGGAACCACCGGACAGTCGTGGTCGTAAAGCAGCCCAAAATCGATCTCGATAAGATGGTCATTGTTCCATTTGAGAAGACAGAAGTGTCTGCTGGACTGCAGGAGTCTGTTGCAGTCCAGACATCGCCTCCCGGGGAAAATGAAAAAGTTGCGGAACCTGGAGATCACCGAAAAAAACATCAAACTGGACTTGGGTCCGTGTTTTGGAAAAGAACCAAGGCTAGCGGTGATGAACGAGGTGGAACATCTAACGTGAAACAGCCAAGTAAGTCACTTTGCAGGTTTTATCGTAGTCTTGACAGTCTCGACAGCTTTTTAGGCTTGAGTAAATTCGAATTCATTTTAAGCTAGCTTACCGTTAAAGTTTTTGAATAGCGAAAATTAATTTCAATTTTTGTAGAATTTTCTGCCCAACCACTTGTGTTCATTTTGCAAAACTCATTGAATGCGTCTTGAATAGATCTCTACGCCTTAACCACTATATCCACGGTCTCAGTTTCGTCAAATTCAATTTCTTCTGACTCTGTTAATCTTATTAGGAAAACCTTTGAGGGCCTTCAGGTGACAAAGCGAGGTGTGAAATCTGATTTCAGTTGCTGCCTTGCCATGATGCTGCAAAGTATTTCTGAGCTTTCTTAGGACAGTTATTTTTTTATTATTGGAAGGAACTGTCGCAAAATTCTGTGCTCATCCTCATGCTTTCTTTATTTGCTTTAATCGTGTAATTGAAACATATTGAGACAATATTACAACACACAAGTATGAAGTGATTCTGTGTGTTCTTTATTATAAGGCGTCACTGGTGGGTATGTATACATATTGAGCAGAACGATGAATCAATTTTGCAGCCCAAGTTTGCCAGTATCGTGTAATCGTGTGCTTCTTTTGTCAAGGTTCCACGGTATAACTTGGTGGAAATTAGCAATAGATTTCTTTATCAAATATGCTAACGATTTATTTAGCTGGAACCAACCAGACTCATAACTTTCCTCATTTTGTGATGCGACACTAATCTGTGCAATCATGCCGCGTTGAGTGCTCAGCTTTATTCGTCTGTGCGCACTTTCTGCACCTAGGCGACCATCGAACCAAGCGTCATCATCCCTCGGAGAGTGCCTTGAAAAAACTCCTCCGGTTAGTTCAACCCGTGATTTCATTGTTTTAATACACAAATATCCTAGTAAGTGTGCCATTTTTTAAAATTATACAGAAGCGGCAGATTTTAAAGTCGTCATTAGGTCGGATAGGATGGCTTCATGCTTAGCTACCCTATAGTTCCAAAATGTTCAATGAAACAATATGTGCGAATGTGGAGTTGCTAGAAGGAGGCTGAGGAAGAAATGCTTACAAGTAAATAAGTCCTGTAAGTGTTAAGGATTTTCATTAAAACTAACACTAGTAACAAAGGCTAATGTTGGCTAAAGTGAGCAACGTATCCACATATTTTGTTAAGCATGTTTGCAGCAACAAATTAATTATTTACCAAAGTTGAAGAATATAAAAGGCTCAATCTTATGGAAGGTGGTCGATAAAATCGCGTCTTTCCATAATGTAAGTATAAACCCGACAGTGGTATCAAAATGAGAAAAAACTTGGCATTATATTTGGGAAATTAAACTAAGCCCTCAGTGAATTGATGTCAACGATTTCATGTCCAGTTGTAGGTGACGATTTAAAACTAACGGTACGATGACTTTATCAGTACCTGTTTCGATAGTTGGAAACTGATCACGCGCACCTTCCATAAGATTGATTGTAAGATTTCGACTGGACAGCTTCAGCCACCTGAGACTTTATTGACCAATAAAATGCGAATTTATTTTTTCCAAGAAAAACCGACGGCAGGGATTCTGACTGGCATAGGAATGCGTGATGGTGTGACAAGAAAACTGTTTGGTGAATTCAAGTGATCACTCGCACTAGCTGATTTGCAAATTTGTCTTACCAGATTTTGTATATTATGCACGCAGCATAATAACTCACCTCGGCGTTATTTTAACCAATCGCGGCTGGCATTCTTTTACAGATTGCCCTAATTTTACATGGAATTACATTATTATATTGCATCTCTTAGACACGCCAAGTCTTGAGTTACAATTTGAACTTAAATTATAAGCATTCCTCCTGAGTGTGAACTTAATGCTTATCTTAAATTATTAGTAGCAGTGTCTTCCCTTTGATAGCAAGAATATTCGGTGATTGGTATTCATTGTCATTGACTGTTTTGCATTATCACCAAAGCCAATGCAAACTGCAAAATCGGACGGCATCAACAAACACGTGTCTACTAAGATCACTTTGGGTTTGAACGCTTTTTGAACTGATACACGGAGCAGATACAGTGTCAAGTCGCCCAATAAATTCTCAAAAGACCTTGAATTTTACTGGATTCTGCAGATAGAGATGCTGTAAGGCTTACTGCGTATTGAAGCAGCCATTACTAATCGACACTGTTGTGGACATTACCTATTGTGTTCTTATTGGGACTTTCTAATGAAATCAGGCCATTTATTTGTCTAAGATTAATTGGAAATAAACGCTAATTACATATGTGAATGACTTGAATATTTATCATCTCCCGAGGAATGCAGTGCATGTAAACAAAAGCCGCATTAAGCCTCCCATTGTTTCGTTTCGCATCCATCAACTGCTATAATTTGCGTTGACTCAGAGACGTTGGATCATGCCACAGCTGATTATCGATAGATAAATGCTTACTCTATGCATTTAAGTGCGTTTTACAATTATCTAATTGGCCAATCTTACGTCTCAGGAATAAGGCTTTTGATTAGCTAGTCCCTCCTATTTGCGCTATAATCAATAGTTAAGTCCCAACTGTGTCAACTGTGTCACAGATGCCCCACTTTAGCAAACGGACAGTCTGTTTAAAAGAGTCAATGCGGGTGTTGCGAGAAGCCACAGGTTGAATTGTGGTGGTTATTTTCTGCGATTAAGCTAATTTCACTTATGAAGCGTTTGCTCTCCTTATGTGGTTTTGAGGTGGAACTCTATAGAATTGCCAGAAATTCCACAGTGGTAAATCGCTATAAAGACTTCAGCTAGTGTCTTTTTTGCCCCAGCTTCGTGAAACCATCTGGTCGATCACATTCCGAATGTTCGGCTCCGGCTGCACGAATATTCTCCGGTCGGACCCTCGACCGGGGTACCGTGGCGTACACCTCAACTCACCACCCCAGTCTGTGTTTGTCTTCACGACCTCCTCTCAGAAGCTCACTCGCCAGTCCTGTCACCATCTTTGTGGCCCACCGGAGCCACAGGCCCCCACGTCCTCCTCTTCAACTGAACACCGCTGCCGCCGACAGCCCCCAACTCCTAGTCCATCGGGCCTGGAACGCCAGCGATGCAATTCTGAGGCAAGCGCAATCGCTTTTCCCTTGTCTGTTGTTGAGTTAATGTTCACGAAAGATGTTTGCTTTAAATTTGAGCTACTAAACTATTTTAGTAACACGTTTTGGCATTTTGTCACGTCGGAATCGCATAGCGGTCAATATCGGATAAGGAGCAAGACTGAATGCTTAAAAAACTGGAGTTGAGCCATGAAATCTCAAAAGAATTCTATTCTTCACTATAATTCGGAGTGTCTTGACGCATTAAGCTCAAAATATAAGCCTTACCTCGAATGTTTATATTTGCACATACAACTTGTGCTCATGTCAGTGTTAAAAAAGCCCTGATATTGCTCGCATTTAGAAAAAAAGGCGCTTAATGCGATGTAGATGGATAAGGTGGAGCTAAGTGGCAGGCCTCACTAGCTGGTCATCGACACGCGTGAACGCCTCTACACAAGTCACCTAATCTAATGGGGTTTTTCACGATCAAATTACTGTGGGACTCAGTGGACACCAGATCGAAAGCAGCTAGCTTGGCCTCTTCGGATTTGCGGTGCTACCTGAATCACAAAGTAGCTGGACAAACTGGAATGCCAGTTGTTTTTTGATGAAAGGGTTGCAGAGCGCAAACAAAGTAGTCTGTGTCGCACTGGAAGCCGTCACTTTTTTGTATCTCTGGCATTACAAGTCGGAAACCTGAGCCGGGAACCAATAAAAAACCCCACTTGGACGGCCATGTAAATAGCATTTGTAAGGTGCCAGGGTTGACCAACAAAATTGACTCATCACAAGTGTCTCTTGTGCCTTTGGTCACCAAAGTCACATTATAATCAGGCTCAACAAAATGAACCTTCTAATTTATGTAGAAAAAGTATGTTTTAACAAATGCTGTTTTTAAAATACAATCCCAGTTTTCCTGTTAAACGTCTATCAGTGGAAGCAGGTGGCTATTTCTCGCTTCCTGTCTTGGCGTGTTACCTGAGGAAATTCTTTTATCATAGAAACGCTAGTAGCAGCCCCATGCAGGCACACACGACAAATCAAACGCCCCCAAGCGCTCTTGCCCTTGACTCAAGCACCCAAGTCACTCCAGCTGACGAGGGGAACTACGTCTCCTTGGGGCGGCGGCAAAACTACGCCGAACTGTCTTTTATGCAGACGTCAGTCCCACATCAGCAGCAGCCGCCGCCGCCCCGTCTTGTCCCCGGCAGTGCGGACTCCACCTTGGCACACATCCCTCCCCCGATGGCGGCTCTGAGTCTGACTAAGCTCAAGTCTGTGCTCTCCTCCTGTCCCCCACAAGCCCTAGAAAAACAGGAGGCTGAGGGCCAGTGTACACTGATCACCTCTGGTAAAAGCAAGTACACAATCAATCAGCTCTACGACATGGACTTGAGCTGCTGCTCTACCGCCTATGAGTCCGTTGTGGACGTAAGAGTCGCATTTAATATCTGACCTCTAAATACTAGGGGATGATGCACTTTCTGACTTGTCTGGTTTAATGTCTGTCCATATTTTAGATGAGAACTGGCAAGGCTTTGGAGTCGAATGATCCAGCGACCTCGAAAACCAGTCGGTACGTTGTGTTCTGTATAACGTCTAGTAACATTGCTCTACACAGCTTTTATTCCACAAATAATAGTCGGAGGTTTCCATGATGTGAGCCGTTACGTGTTATTCGGTAATTGCGACTGATTTCCAGGGCTATAGGTGTAGTTTCCCTTTGGAATTGAGTTTTGATATTAGCAAGGCATTTAAAAAATCTAACAGGTCCTTCCAAGTGGGTTAAGCACCTCATCAACTATAATTACCCAATACCTTTATTAACCAAACTTGAACGTAGTCTCTGGTAAATTGGGTACACCGCGTGAATATGTGCAACTGCATCGTGCCAGCAGTGGGATTCATTTTGTTATTGCACAGCAACCGGGTCAGCGACGGTTGGTATGATGGCATTTCCAGGCTACTTATTTTCTACCTAGTAAGGTGTATGAAGACGCCGAAGCCCTCTACCGTCACCTTTCGCACGTGAAGATTTTCGATGAAGGCCAATCCGCACCACATCCTGCCCCACCGGAGCCCTCCGATTCGATCAACTCTGCCACCCATCCAGACGCCATTTGAACGCAAAAGGGGCGCATCGACTGCTATACCCCCACTGAAAAACTCCGCCATCTCTCCTTGGTGTTGTGGAGTAGGTGGCTCATCTAGTAATGACACGTTACTTGTGTGCGTGTGTGTTTGTGTGTGTGTGTTGTGAAATGCCCCACAATTTAAGTGTTGTTATGGTGCGAGATTATTTAGCACGGGAAGTAGTGAGATACCTCGATTCATCAACACACCTTCCAAGTTGTCTGGTGAGTACAACAAAAACCCACAAGTCGGCCAGGAGAAGCTATTTTGGTCTTTCAGATATAAACCCTGTACAGGAGTGCATGTACATGCATATCTATTTACGCTCCAACCATTTACATACAATACAAAATGTATGAACCTGAATTTCATCATTAATTTATTCTTCACGCTGGGAAAGTTAAAGTGGTTCACTTTGAAGGTCCAGTAGCTGGCGGTACTATTAGTGGTTGTCATTGTGATCACAACAAATCTACCATCCCACCGGATCGTAGAAGTGTTTGTTTTGTTTAATTACTTGTGTGAGGCATCTCATAGTCCAACGCCCTTTTTAGGCACTCAAGGGATAAACATCGAACCTGAATGTGTATATGGATTAATGAACGAGTACTTTAACACTGTTTACTGCTTAGCTTTAAACAAGAATTTTATTCTTCAATGTGCCATAGAAAGTACCTTCACCATTGTACGGTTATAAAGTCATTCAAAAATTCTCGTGAAAACTTTCACGGTGGGGAACCATTTGATAAACAAATTTTACATACTAGATTATTAGCGCAGTAAAGATAAAGCGACCACATGATAAGGAATCCGTCTGGATACGTGGAAAGTCGGGTCTATTAAGCTTCTAGGAATCCAATATCAGTCGAGATACACCATCGTTGCAACCACCACCCGCCTCTTCTGCACACGTGTCGCGTGGACGCCGAGTTCTTTATGCGAGCGCATTCCCAGTTAATAGAGACGACCAAGCAACTACACTACCTCATTCTAAACAAAAGTAGGACTTTATTTTTAAAATACATTTTCATCACTCTTAAAAATGTACTGCTAAGAGTTATCTACTAGCAATATGTGGGCAACAAAAGTCATCAAAAATGCAATTCTGAATGTTCATTTAACACGTCACATGTTTATTGTTAATTCTAATAACAATCTGATATTTGGAAGGAAGACAATTGTAATAGCACACAGGCTGCTTTAAGGCCCACTACTCGGGTATTAATGCTATGTGAGTCAAATTTATTGTAAGGCTGAAAAAAACTTGTATATGAGTTTAATTACAATAGAACACTTCGGAAACCTGCACTGCAAGTCGATTGTAAATCGCGTTGATTCACACTCGCTAATCCGATCACTCCGGCCTCCGACACAGAGTCCCCCTTTACGCAGCATGTCGCCAGCCGCGCGGATCCTCAACTCTCTCCTCATTTGCACGAATATTTATCTTGGATTACCCTCACACCTAGGTCTCGGTGTTAGCTCATCTATGACTCACACATCTGGGGTACAAATACACATGCGCAACTGCCACCCACGACACATCACTAATGTGGTTGGGCTCTGAAGTAAATGCTTATGTCCACGTTCTCTCCAGTCTTTTTTTCCTCACCGCAGGTATTGGGGAAACGTAATCGGACTAGGGTTAATTCCGTGGCCCCGGGGTGGTTCAAGACCACATGCTGGGGTCCACAACAAATCAATGCAGTGTGATAAGCTCGTGCAGTAACTTTCTAATGGACCAAAGGTGAATGTAGTATGAAGCACAAATGCTAAAAAATATTTGTTTGACAAAATCTTTAATTTTAATTGCGCACAAAAACCAATTAATTAGCTGACCACTCACCGTATAGAAAACAGAGTCTATTTAATTGACACAAGCCAGATTGTTGAGACCATTAAGTAACGAAGAAGGAAGTCATTTATACCCGTTGGCCCATCAAGTCCTAAAACTTACAATGTTGTTATTGAAGGTATCGGGTTGGATTTTTCATTAAAAAATTGAGGTCAAAAGCAATTTTTTATGCATAGTTTGTTGTATTTTTCTTAGTAGGACTTTAAATTCACATGAATGGTTTTCTCGGTAGAGGAACAGTCTACATAGTCCATTTAAAATCTATCGCTGACAGAAATTTTCGAGAATGGATATTCTTTACAGCTTAATTCTAATCTATTTCATGTGCATTTGGTCAATAAGCAATTAGCAAAATTTTATTAAATGAACGACAATTTTTTGTTATTTCCATATACTAATAAAAATAGTACAGCCTACGTAACAAATTTTTGTGACTTAAAAGTCATTTCTTCGTTTATGCGGTTTCCTTTGTTTTATGCGGACCACATCGGCACTTTGAGTGTATAAATTAACTAAATTTCGGTCGCTTTAGATGTCACTAAAACTCGTTACCAAGAGCACTCTTATTTATAACTGTAAATAAATTTAACACAAGCTCCTCAGTTTTACCTTAATTCGACTTTTGCTACGTAACCTGGTTTATCGGCAATATCTACATCAATATCCTTTGATCACACAAACACTCACTACACTAACCTAACTTGTGAACTATGCCCTAGCAAATCGTGGGCATTTCGGGAACACATCAAACTTTGGTTTCCGTCAAGGACATAAAAAAGCATTTGTTTTTATCGCGCAACACAGGGCTATAACGAACCAGATTAATCATTATCGCATCGACGCTCAATTTTCTAAAGCGGAATGTTCATTTAGGTCCGTGAAGTGCATATGGATTAGCCACATAAAACTTTAGTCAGTTCTAGAAACTCTTTTATATCAATTTCCTTAAGTCTAGTTATTTAACGGTCATAAAATACGACTTAGCAGTCCCATATTTTCAGCATTAGCTACATCCTTTTTGGTTTAATATAACAACTAAAAAATAAGCAATAATATTTGAAACAATGTAGGCTTAATATTTTTGTGTCGAGTTGCATTTCTTATAATATTTGCGTCAAAACCAATGGCCTATGCCACCCAACTTACAAATATAGTGCAACTTACGGAAAATAAAACAAAACTACAGCGCTGATGCACCCTTTGTTTTAGAGGCGATAGTTATAAAAAAACGTAATATTCGGGAAATTGGCCTTGATGAACAATTATGGCTAACTCGCATTTAAAATAATTCCTCGAAAATCAGTTTGAAATAGAAAGTATTAACACTAAAAATAATTTTTCCGTAATGTCATATTTACACGTAGGATCTATGATTACAATGTACGAATGTGAAACAAGTCCAGATTATTTAATCAAATAAGTCAACTTTAGTAAATAATAAATCCCGATTGGTTAAAAGATTTAGCATGATTAATAAAACAGTTATTTTAATATTTATCAACAAATAATAAATTTCGCCATTAAAGTAGACTACAACTACATGGTTGTCCAAGTCAATCTCGTGGATAATTTTTAGTAAAACAATATTAAAATATCGACCATTTCCGTGACTTCCAGCAAATTAAGTTAAAATAATAAATGATCAGATTCCTGATCTCGGAAAATACTGTATATAATACGGCATAAAATTATATTTTAAAAACGTCTAAGAATATTTTAAGGTCTTGTCCTTAACCTATGTTTACATGGGTCATTATTAATTAACTGACATTGCACAAATCAAGCGCGTTTTTAGAGTCAAGCAGAAGGCAGATTGGATGGGGCTGCTTTCAACATCCGAGCATTTCTGCCCTCGTCTTATAGACTATTTTCTTGTCGTGGGTCCCTGTAAAGACAATGAAATTGTTAAAGGGTCTTACCGGTCAAAAATTTTAAGGCAATTTCCTCCGACAGAACACGAAGACTTCCCTCTACCATCAGAAACAGTATTCTTTTGTCAACCTGATTGTATTAACGCAGAGGAACAACAGCACCTGCGTTTAGTAGTATGGAGGTGTAATTTATTTTTCACGGAGTCATAGGACGAATCATCATTTATCTTCACATTAACAGACAAGGATAAGAACAGAGTTCGTTACGGTATTTGTCTGAATTTCTTCTGCAATCTAGATACGGTAAGCTTTGGGTGTTAAAGATTTGTTGCCTTTTTAGGCTCTTTGTAGAATATCTCTAAAATATGCTGTAACACACTGGGCTCGTTGAAACCTTTTAGACGTGAGCTGTTCATTTCAAACACTGCACATTGTACAACACTAGTATGTCCTGTAGTAATTTATTCACTCGACTTGTCTAGATAGGAGTATAGATGTTTTGTTTTAAATGTCTGATGTTCATCTTGTATGATTAGAAACGACTTAAGAAATTAGTTGCAAAATGTTTTGAACCTCCGGGTGTTAATTGTGAAAATTCTTGGCATTCGTTCCATTATATATATGTCATTTTATATTTAAGGAAAGGGTGGACAATGTTATGTCTCTTATATCATTTTGCATAATCACCCATCACCCTATCTTTTCTGGTTTTCGTCGTTGTTTGAGTACACTCAAGGCAATGATTGATTGTCTACCCGGATTCGGACGTTTGATATCTGGTTGCGCGTGGTACGCTGTTCCTTTGTTTCTTTTGTCCACTTTAAAGACATAATAATAAAGAAATTTTTTAGGAAATCAAATAATTTTTGGCAATTGTTCCTGTATAATAGCAGAATTTGCCCTGACATTACAAATGCTGAAGCCTTAATTGCACTACAAATAGAAAAATGGATTTTTCGATTGTTAAGCACTTCTGCGCCGGTTCCATCGAACAGTTTTGTTAAGGTGAGTTGGCATAATAGTTTTACTTGATAAAATCATAATGGACACAAGTAAACATTCCGTTATTGTGTTATCGGTGTGCACTTTATTTAGTAAAAACCAATGTAAAAAACCTTTGCAAATAGCAGTGTGTATGTGATCGGTTATAGAACAAATGTAGTTTGATATGGTTTCTGGCATGTGTTTGAATATTCATCGAGCTTATATTATTTACATGACTTGAGACAAAAAAACTTAACCAATGATAATGACACATGACTTTGGCCCTACCAAACAACTTCTGACACAAATAATCCAGTGTTCCATTGTTTATCTTTCTAGCTCAAGCTTCTACCGGAAGAAGTTGAATCCCCTTTAGTATTCGCGTTGCCGGATAAGAGTCGTCTCTCTCTTGTTGATTTTTCTTTCTACCTTCCTATTGAGTTGCTGGGCATCGATAAATGCATCAACGTTATTTTGGCTGTTCTGCTTGAACAGAAGGTAATGAAGATATTTGTTTTGCATGAAGCACCTTTAGCCTAGGGATAAACTTTGTCGATTGCACAAAAACGTTACGAAAAATACCTTGCTGCGCTAATAGGCGATCATCAAAATATCTCGTTAAGTAATGGTGGCTGTGTTTTACTTGAATTATTGGTTGAATTTGGTTGATTTAAAACTTATTTATTGAGCTACGCAAAGCAAGTTTTTGTATCCCTTCCTGATAGGTGCTGCTTAAATCAAGGGACTACAACGCTCTCACAATGTGCGTATTAGCACTCACTAAAATGCTCTACCCGCTTCAATACATGTTTCCGGTCATCCCGTTCTTACCAACTTCCCTCCCCAACGCTGAACAGGTCAGAAATTTTCACTTATCACACGAAAAGGCCTTCCGAACTTTGTATAGTTTAGAGGAACTAGTACACGTTTTATTGATCTTTTCTTTTTTGTTTATTGTGCTTGTAGCTGTTGGTATGACTCGTGATACCAATTAGTCCATTACGCATTTTTCTCATTCGATAATTAATTTGTTTGATTCTGAATAAGTATTAGCGAATTTCCAGTGCCACAAAATGTGAATTTATGTAAAAGCTAAATTTTATGTTGCCTATTAATTATCAATTATAACTAAATTAAAAGGTGCAAATTTTATAGTCCGTAGCTGAGACTACACTTGATTTTATGAGGTTCAAGATTTACAATTTGTTGTATTAGTTATAGAGAGTGAATCCACAGATCTGGCAAGTCAGGATTCACAAATTACGCTGTTTGCTATTCAGTATTGGAAAAGGTGCTTTTGGTGTCCTTTAACGCTAAATTTAGCCTAAAATGCAGAAAACCACTGAAATTCACTTTTTCGCCGATTTACACCCAATTTACTATGGGGTAGATCCTAAGTCTTGAGTGTATTCCTTTGTAATCATATTTGCTACATGAAACACTCTTTACTTGTTGATGAGCTTTAAATAACAAATTAACAAGTGCAACAGGTTCCTTTTTATCTAAGAAATGCATTACATCAAAGGTTTGTGTTGGATTTTGTGCGCTACACAAATTCTGGTAAGACACTCGGGTGATATTCTTGACCTTGGCAGATTCTTCTTTCGCCAACACCTTTCCTTATCGGCATACCCTCAAGTTTCTTGCAGGAAAAAGGCCAAAAAATCTCACTGTCAGAGATTCTGCTTGTGGATCTTGACTCCGGTCAGGTTAGTCTGTTAAATACACTCATTAAAGACCACAAAAACACTTTTATTCGGAGCTAACTCATAATTCGAAGGCGAGTGAATATCGTAAAATGATCACATTGTGCATGCGTTGATTTAAGGGAAGGATCGGGAAAGTTGAAACAACAAATTGATAAACCGGCCTGCTTGAATGCATTTGTCACTAATCTGGAACGGAAATCACCTAGGAGGCAGGAAATTGAAATAAGAAGACAATAAAAAGCCCCGACTTTCAGATCGAGTGTGGTGGAGCAGATTAATTGACTTTCAGAGGGTATTGTTTACAAAGCAAATTCGTAAAGTGCTTGTTTAACCCATAAAAAGAAGGCGGTTTTCTGGTAATTTCGGTGGGTCGCGAGTGGTTCTTCTTTAACACTGTAGCTTCAAAATTCCAAAGGTGCGTTCTTCCATGTCGTAGTAAAATTTCGGGATCGGCTTGTAACAAGCGTTAGCCAATATACCACATATGTGTTTCTATTTATTAACAAGGAAATACTTGAAATGGGATTCCATTAGACCTTTCTGTGCAGCACAATTAAGTCTGCTATGTTGGCACTTAAATATCCGTGAATATACACTTATTGGTGGACCACAATATTGAACACATTAGTTACTCCAACACACACACGTCATCTTAGTAATGCTTAAGGCCACTCTCACCCAAAGGAATCTTTGCTGGGCGCCATTCTCATGTCCTTGGTGAAGCACTTTGTCCCTTACTAAAATGCAACCGTAATTGCTTACGTAATTATGACTCATCATCATCATTATCGGGAGATGTTTAACTGATCGGCGCGGTACTTTTCAACTTTAGCTGATTTACGGCGAAGCTCTTGCTCAGCTCCCTGACTTCCCTGCTCAGGAGAAGGACAACCTGCGCGATCACTTTCTACGCGTACGTTCAACTTGCATTGCCCCGTCAATCGTTTTGCAGGTTCATTACTTCCTCAGTCCAAATTTTCCCTTTTAAACGAGAAAAAAAGCCTTCTCATACACATTTTGACGATGTTTTGATAGTATTATTCGCACCATACTATTGTGTCCGATAAACCACTCTTGTGTTGTTTTAAAAAATTGGCATTTTTCACCAAGTTTTGACCGTCCTTGTTTCTAGAAGCGCTGCTTTCAGTGGTCTAAAATGGCAACGTTAGCTTTTGTTGAATCCAAGGATTGTTGCTGAGTGTAGGACTTGAATGCCCGTCGTAGTGCCATCACCAATTCTGGTTACAACGCAGTTGATTGAGTCTAATTCGCAGTGGATGGTCACATGTTGGGAAACCAGTAGGGAGTGTGGACACTTAATGTCATCCGACCATTCACACACTGTTAGTTTTTACTGTTTAGGCCTTGGAACTGATGAAGAAAGGATCATCAATGGCTCCGGACGCCATCGTTGACGCGCTAATGTGCCCAAAGCGGTCCACAAAAGATTCTGCGCTCACTGATTCAAGCTTAGCAGATGACCAACCACCCGTAGACGTCGATGTTATTGATGTGGCGTCTCGAGTAGCCATGGTAAGATATTGGCGTGTGAAATTATCCAATCACTTCCACTCATCATATTGACTAAATATAATTGGACGAACATAATGCAGTCATTCTTTTATATTTGGCTGTGATATTAAAGTCAATTTGGTAATAAACTGTCATAGATTCACTAGGCGGGTTGCAAGGGACCACATTTCGGTGTTCTCAACGATGTGACCTGATGCATTCAGGTCTACCCTGTTTCCGTGACAGTGCTTGTAACAATGTTTCCCTGTCTTAATACGTAGTTGCACTTTTATTGAGAAATTAGGTGTTTTAAAACACAGAAACACCAACAACGACAATTATGAAACCTTTGGATGTAAAAACGGCCCTATGAATCGGCTCTTTAATCAAGAAATTTTCTATTTTCCGGCAGATCAATCGGCAAGACTGATTTCACTCTGATTAGTAGTGATAGCCTGTAAAGGCTGCTTATTGATGTACTTTGGATTCGCCACGAACTTTTAGTACGTCCTAATAGAGTTGAGGAAAAACCGGAGCAATTTCATGCAGTCTAAATTCCAAAACCTATAACCTTGGTGACATGGAAACCTCTCGCTCGCAACGCCTCATTCATTCACCAGGACTGCATACGAATGTGCTGGTTTGTCCAAACTGCACCATTTTGTTGAGGATTAATTGGTCATTTATGGCAAGCAACCCCTGAGGAGTCCTGTAGGATTTTTCCAGAATATTTTTACTAAATTGAAGCTCTTTAATTCATGCGGTTTGTGACATTGTCAAACTAGCTTTTCATAAGTTCTGTGTCCTCCAACTAGACCGCTTGGCTGACTACCATCTCCCAGAGCAACATGGTTTAGCACCGTGCACTAAAAGTTTCACATTTTGTGGAACAAAAATGGCAATTTAGGAGCTAGTTATGGTTTGATATCTCCTTTAAATTTCAGGTCCGTTTTTTCAACTCACCGAGTATCCTTGGTGATTTCACTGAACACACTCGAACATTGCGCCTGTTTCCACGTCCAGTCGTCACTTTCAAGTATGTCTCCTTCATGCGGTCCCGCCCGGTCATGTACCCTTTCACGCAGAAGTTGGCCAAAACGCAGGTTCGATTTTCCACTCTACTTTACTGTTGCGAAATTGCATGCCTACATGCTGTGCCACATAAATACATGAAGCGTAGGCTCCTCACCTTTGAGGTGTAACTCTAGCATCCATTTAGCAGTTGACATTAGTAACAATAAATCGAACAAGGTGTAGACTTCTAGGGCCACGCGACTTTAGAAAAGGCTGGTGATGTTTCACATGGGACCGCATCCTATGCACAAAAGCTTCAAATTAAGGTGCCAGTTCTGTTAAGATGAAATGACGAGCTTATCCAACTTTTAAACTCAATCAGTTGTTTAGCAAAGCAGTAAAATTAATTACTGTAAGGAGTATCAACACCGCTATCAAAACGCCAATGCTTCTTAACTGGATTTTCAATCAAACATAACAAACAAGTGTCAAAGGAAAGTGTCTGTGTGGACTTATATGGGCTTAAGATGTTCTAGAAAAAGCTTAAAATGGACGTGCTAACGATGTTTTTTAGTGTAACAGAGCTAGAGTGCCCTTTTCTTTATCTTTGGATGCACTCTGCTAGGTGTGCAACAATGCTTAGCTAAACATCAAAGCGGTTTCTCTTTACGCATTGTTTGTTTGCCTTATAGGAGTCTCAATCTATTTCCACTGAAAAAAGACGAAATCTAGAATAACTCAACATTGTAATTAAAAATACCGCAAACTTATTAGTCATGCCACGTTGATAGACGTTTTCTTCGGCCGTTAGAGCAGGTTTTGCGTGCTAACCACATAAATGCCTTTAATGTCAATTAGTTATGTCAGACCCTTCGAGAACTTTACACGACTTTGAATTAACATGGAGTGGTTGCTGTAATCACTAAAAATTGACGAAGCACATTGGTTTAAGTTCCTGTCAAAACAGATGCTGAACAAGCATGGTGAAGCGTTCAACGAGAATATTTGTAGGTGAAAATGTTCAGAAAACGTAAATGTTCAGAACAGTAATTTGTGTAAATGTATCTGGTTAGATAGTGTCTTCTCTAGCAAAAAGAATAGTGATCTTGTTTTGTGGACTTAGTGCTGACTACGTAAATAAGCTTTGAAACCTTCAAGTGTATATTTTAATTCTTGATATTAAAATTTAATATAAATTAAAGTGGTTTGCGAATCCTCTTTTTTAAAGTACTTACAATTTTGGCGTGTTACACTTTTTAGTGCACTTTAACTATCAGATTTACAATTTGCAGGCCGTGGAATATTTGTCAGAGTGGTGCCTGTACCCCAAAAATGAAGTCTTCCAGAGGATACACTCGGGAATTTTTGACCCCCGGCTTATCGGTGACAAGCCAAAGTGGTTCTGCTCCGAGCTAGTCCCGGTGGAGTATGAGGTCTACGATAAATCGGACACCTGCTTGATTCATCTGGGATGTTGCAAAAATCGAAGTATGTACCAAAAATACGTGTTTACCTTATTAGCTCACTTTATTTACCTTACTATCGATTGGATATGTGCTAAGGTGGTATGTAGTTTGGTCAGCTTTTTCCTGTTTTTAACTGTATTGCCAGAAATTTAAGTAAAATGTAATTAGAAATGGATTGTGTTTGTTCACGAACCGTTAGGTTTCGACGACAATCACCAGAACTGAGTCAAAGTCAGAATGGCAGTGGTGCACTGTGCGAATCGGGAGTTGTCCCGCATGACGGCCCGACTTAGTGCGGTTGTACATATTTACGTTTAGAAACAGTAGTGTAAAGTGAAAATTTTAGCGTAAGGAAATGTGTAGTCGTTATTTAACCTTAGGGTACTTAGTCAAGCTTAATTAATTATTGACTGTGACCAGATTTGCTACTGAAAAGGATATGCAGCTGCCAAAATTTTACGTACGTTACCAAAGGCCAAAAGATTTTGGGCATTTATCTTAACACTAATTCTAGAAATGTGCATGTGTTCAGCCATCGTACTTAAGTATTCTTTCAGCCTCTCGGTTGGTTAGGGATATGTTAATTGAAATTAGCCCAATTTCAACGCAGCAGGCCTATCGGCATAATTAATGGTTCCTATTTCAGCAGCTACTTTATTTTAATTAAAGTCGCTTAACGCCTACCGATATTCATCTGGTTCAAGGATTCCACAAGTACTTCGCAGGGGTGCACTACATATTTCAATAATGTCAATCTAGCCTTCGCCACATGTGTTCAGGTTAGACCAAAACTAACGTAAGATTATTTTGGACTATTTTCTATTTCCATGGCCTTGACGTGAGGTTGATTAAGCTAACTGCAAAATATTTCCCTTAATAGCCTTGTGGTTAGTACATGCGGTCATCATCTGGGTCAATTAAGGGTAAAGACAGCTTTCCCAAAGTGGCAAGTTAAGTTACGCTTTCAGATAATTCTAGAAGGCAGATTTAGGTACCGACTGGTATGTTACGGTAGCTGTATAAGATTGGCGCCTGCGAAGTAACGAAATATTTCCCACTGCGTCCGCGCGTGGGTTCCAGATCCGTTCACATGTCAACAATCATCTGTTCATAGCCTGGTTTCCCTTATCAACAAGTAAAATGCGGCGACTCCATGGAAAGGTAGTTTATAACTGCAGAAATGACTTCGTATCAAACATGATTTCGTGTTCAAACATGGACTCACGTTTTTGACTAAATACGCTTGGAGCTGAAGAAGTGTATAAACATTATTTTGGAAGCAGTCATAGCCACTAGAAAACCGGCGTTCTTATATAAATATTTGGGTGCTTCGTAAGTTTCAAACGTCTTTACACGAAAACACACTAATATGCTGCTGAAATCTTTTCTCCCTGTATTCCTATTGATAAAAATAGTACCACATTTTGTTTTCCTTACCAATGAGTCTTCATTTCAAGTTGAACAGCTTCCCTCTGCGCCATAGTCAAAACATCGGTTATTTTAAGGGCTTAGACAGCAATCGTTTGAGGACCTGGGTGCACAGCTCTCTTATGGATTGATCTTGCCGTTCTAACTGCTTGTTTAAGCAACTGCGTAGGCATTTTCTTCGAACACCATAGTGATCGACATCTTCTCATGTTAATGGAATGATTTTGCTCAATATTTGCGTTCGTTATTTGGAATGTTATGGTGTTTTACATAAGTGTGACAAATGTAATTAGCACAAAACGCACTATTTTGATAACGGCGAATTTGGCTTTTACAGATCCGTGGGCCGTCGAAAACGTGAGACTTGAACCTTGGCTCCTCAACAAAGCCGACTTTCAATCGCTTGGATTCGCTGGTAAATTTTGCGCTTTTTTAGTTGGATGGGACTGTCTTCTTTGGCATTCCCAATCTTGATTTCCAGTTGAGGAAATAGTGTGGCAAGGAAGTAATTACGGTTTACTTAAAGAATGGAATTCGATTAATATACTGTATTTCATTTTGTTCAGTGACTTTTTCGTTTTTCTGCACGCATATAGTTTCTGGTCATTATTACGTGAAGCCTAATCCAAGCGTGATTCATGTCAAGCATCTTGATGGAGTATCACCTGATTTTCTAGGTTTTTTATGCATGTCTGAGGAAATTCATGAGCGTAAAGTTAAATATGTGTTCATTAGTAAGCGCGACAACAAAGTTAACTTCCACAGGTGTGTTTTGTTTGCTTCTCAATTGTGGATTTAGAACCAAACGATACATCCTCTCATGCCCACTCACTTCTCGTGAAATACCGCGAGTTCTTCAATCCACCGAGCTGTGCTGAGGAAATAGTCGGCCATGCTAAAGCCGTTAGCGAACGAGATGCTGGCTCAAACGAAGTGGGGAAAAGTGATGGACGGTCGACAGCATCGTTGAAACGTTCCTCCACCCTGGCCGATTCTGACGAGGCTTATGACGACATCTTCGCCTCCAGCATCTCTCAAAGTGACGGCCAATCAGATCAGGTGCGAGATGTCTCGCTAAGCTATCTTTTTGTTATATGTCAATTTTTAGAGCTGCCTTAATTCTGATAGGTCTAGACATTGCGTATCTTTGCCTTACAACCCTCGCGATTTCCCGTTTGATTCATCATTTTAGCGAGCATTCGATAGTCAGCAGGAAAACGATTCTGGCTATAACTGTTTATTCGCTTTTATGTTATGCTTGACGTCAAAACACACGCATTCACTGTTTTAATTAGTAATTTGACAAATCAAGTCACTTGTTTTGAAGTTTTGTTAAATACAAAAACCTCGAATTTTGAAGAAACGGGTTCGTCCAAGTACCGTGTAATGCATTTCTGCAGTCATGTAATCACTGTGTCTAAGATATATAATCCTGATCCCAAAGGATTGACAGATATTGCTAATTTCTTTTGATATTTTGCGTAGAGGATATCCTCAAATATGCAATATTTGAATAACCTGGTGGAGTTAGCTTAATTTTGGGTTTTGATGCAAGCAAACACTACCTCATTCGTAAAGTGCACCTTCAGAAGCATTAAGCTAGAATTTTGGTCTTGAGGAATTTTCGTTTCTTGAAATAAATTTTGATGTGATTTCTATGGCTTCAATGGATACATTATTTTGTCCTTGATATGTATAATTAGCTTGGTAGAACAGCACTTGTGAGATCCGTCAGTTCGAAACGCCTTGCCACATCGCGAGCAACATTACAGGTTCCTGGGTTACAAAGTAACTGGCACCACCGTATTGTGTATATAAATGGTCGATTACATCATTTAAATTTTTAAGTACTATTTTATAAACTTTCGAAAATTTTGCTTCACACGGAAATCGAACCACACGAGTTGTAAAGGGTGGTATAGTCTTGTGTAATTATAGTTGTTCCTAGTTTTGGTTGCCACTACCTGAATCAAACATTCCCGTTTCAATGTACAATAAGCGATTGGAGAGCGAGTAACACAAAATGAGCCATTGTTTTGGGTTGCAAATAATAAACGTAAGCATAGTCAATGCATCTTTATCTTCAACCTCTCTTTGTAGGACGACTCCGATATCTGGGACTTGAAAGAATCAAAGCAAACTACCGCTAATGAGACCAACAACACCTTGGATGTGAGTGATTTTGCAAATTGTATCTACTGAAAAGCAACTTTTGTAACAAAGGCTAACCAAATCCCAGGTGCCTTTGATCTATTAACACCACGGTAATGCCGTAAAAGTGAAAACGTCAGAGC